CCGGTAAACGTCCCATGCTGCGTTCATGCAGGCTCGGAAATGCTGAAGCCTACAGAACAAACATCGGTTATAAAAACCCGATACCGATAATTCCCGATATTACATTTTTTTGTGAATATCCCTAATAGTAAGATATCATCAGACCAGCATGTTGTCTGTGTTCTAGGGACTCCAAATTTAGAAATTATGTGCTGGATGTATATTTAGCTGTGTTATTAAGCTGCAGTGCCTCTATACACCCTGCACACAAGTCTTAAACTTAACCCTTATCCTAACCGTTCCCATTTACAAGGTGAAGATCAGCCAAAAATGTCCTCAGTTTCAGCACCTAAAACTCAAACTGCTTCACACAACATTAGCATAATGTGTACGGACACTCAGGCAGTGCATGCACCCACCATTATCCACAGACACTGGTCTCTTGGAGAGCAGTTTTGCCGCTCTTTCCTCTTTTGGAAACATTAAGACTTCAGCCGGCACAATGAGCGCTGATGTGAGAGAGTAAAGCGGGAGTAAACTGCAGCCTCGGGGAACGTTCATACATAATGTTGGAGAGCAGGGTGATCAAAGTGTGACGTGGTCTCATTATGCTAAGCACATTCAGACTCTTACTGAGAAGAGACTTATTCAGAAAATAGAGCAAAGGGGAAAAAACAGAAGCTCTTTTTTTAAAACACAGACAAACTGTTAAGGGACATAAAAGAGTTAATAATCACCAAATGGGGCCGATCAGCTTCACACAGAAGAAAATACCATAATAAGCATTTACATTACTAAGAAATAGACCAAAGGAAATGTAACAACCACAAATATTGACAAGTTTTTTTTTTTTTAAAGCATAGCAACGACTTGGAAATCTTCTTGAAAACCTTTTTTCTTTACATTGACAGAACATTTACATAGACCAGTTACAGTACGTGTAGTTACAGCTTTAGTCCTCCTGAAAGAGGATAAAATGTTCCATCTCTCCCACCATTTACCGCTCCGTTAGCATGTAGCACCTTTACGTTGTTTGTTACCTGCTGTCTTTACCAAGTCCGAAAAGCCCGTAGCTAAAGAGCTGAGCTAGTCATTCACAGCATGAAGGATAGAGGGGAAGGAAAAAGGCGAAAGGGGAGCATGGAAGGAGGAGTGGAGAGGACAAAAAAAGGGAGGGGGGCTGTGCGTGGTTTCCTTTGTGGCCTCTTCTCGGCCGGCTAAGAGGCTTATGAGGGCTGTAACGAGGCCCAGGGGAGCAGTGTCAACATGTTTGACACCCCGACTCTCACACAGCCCATGGCAGAGACCTTTTGCTGCCCTCACACACTTGCTTTGATCTCACATACACATGAGCCGGCAAAAAACCACAAACTCCAGCATGCTGTGGGGCTGAGGATGGGAGAGAAACAGAAGGAAGATAAGAAGGGTGGTAGAACGAAGGACTGAGGGAAAAAAGATGAGAAATGAATGTTTAAAAGTGGGAGAGGAGAAAAGTTCTGTTAAAATCCCCCCAGCAAATGTTCCATTGCTGCTGTTGAGTCATGGCTCTAACCAGAACTCCTGTAGACGAGGCGTTGGCTTTCACATTACTCCAAATGTTTGCAGTTCATTTAAATTAAGTGAAAAGGGGATGTCAGGGTGTCTCTTGTCTCTCCAAGAACCACATCAGATTGTCAGTGCAGTAAAAGAGGGCACAGACAAGTGTCTCCTCATGTAGACTCAGTGTTGAGATGAAGAAATGATGGCACATAAAATAACATTAATAGCGCGAGCGAGCATCCATCCCTCGCTTAGTCCGCTCCATCTTCATGTACCGTATGTGTCACGTCAAACACACAGCTGACCGTCGTATATTTACACAATTCAGTCCCGTTCTGCCAACCGACCTCACCTGCCTCTCCTGGCTCCTTTCTCCTGATTGGCGGTAGGCGTTTTGGGGCGAGCTTCCTCTAGTCATGTGGTCCTGGGGTTTGGAAGGTCAAAGACGATGGGCGCGTTCATGGGTAGGAAGTTGACAGTGCAGGCCGAGGCGTTGATGTACGTGGTGGTGCCGTCAGTCATCATTCCGTAACCTGGGTAGAAATGAGAAAGGTGAGCTCCTGCACGCTCTGAGCACAGTTTTCAAAGAAGCTACAGTTGATCGTTTCCAAACTGTACAACATGGAGCACCTGTGTCTATAATTCTCCAACCCTCCTGTCTTACAGCTGTGAATTAGGTTCACTTCAGCGTTTTTGACCTCCTAAGGCATGACACTGAAGTCTTTATTTCAAACACCATGCATGCAGTCTAGTTTAGTCCTAATGTACTGTTAAGAGGACATCCTGGGCTTTTTAGTGTATGTTGTTTTATATTTATGAGCACATGTCCTTTGTGGGGGGCAGAGGGTTATTCTCATTTTCAATACTTAAGTATATAAGTGAGGCAAAAAAACATTTGATGTATGTATCGGCATGATCAGCCTGTATCCAATGTCAAGCCACACAAAGAAGTGGACTGTTCACAGCAGCATGTATACCACCAGGGAGACCTATGTCATAAAAAAGGAAACATTTTGAGGTAGAAATAAAACGATTCAGTGCTGTCTGCAGATATGAACATAAACATTCCTATATTCTTCCATGGAGTCTGCCATGTTGAACCACCATGTTGTAGGGAACCAATCTTAACACAGATCAAAATGTAATTGCCATTACACTGTTTAATCAACATATACTTTGTAATTATAAAGCACGAAAGTTGTATTTCCACTATAAATACATTTTGTATTGAGATGAGGAGAAAACGTTTCTTGTAACACTAAATAGGAATGCCTTACATGAATATTCTGATAATAAAGTCAAATCAAATCAATCAGTGCTGCCCTTTAATAAACATGGAATTTTTACTGCTTACTATTAAAACTAAGTCTCCCAAAAGGAACCCAAATCCTCAGTAAATATTCCCCAATACATGATTAAATGATCAAATTAAATCAGAGGAAGCACCGGGGTCCACTGTCAATCAGACAGGGATCATAATAAATACACAAGCACAGACGCAATCTCTGAATGTGCAAACGAGAAATGCTCAGTATTACAGCACATCATAATTTCTAAAACAGCGAGAATACAGTTTGAGCAAATGTATGCATGAGAGTGTGACACTAACACCACAAATCTCTGCTCAAAAGGCACTTTGGATCAACATTTCTTCCAAATGGCAGATGTAAGAGTGTGACCATTTTGTCAAGCATAAGTTAACTCCCATCTCTCAAAAAGTACTACAATTTAACTTTGCACTCTGAGTGATTTTTTAAGTGTAGGTGTCACTTTCAGTGTCTTTTGGAACAGAATGTCTGTTGGTCCTTTCAGATTTGGACTACATGAATACAAAACACAGCGTGGATCACTTCTGCCTCACATTAATAAAGAGAGCTGCTTTCAGCCCTTTGTCCTGTTAGAAAATCTGATCTAGTTTCTAATCTGGTTGTCTCTGATGGGGGACCGCTGCTCCACGGGCTCAGTGCTGACCTGATAACCCCGAAAAAAGCAACCCTCAGTCCAGGGAGACGCCCTCTCTGCCCTTGCCGGCCTGGATGAATTGCTGATAGGGATGTTGCAGCTCAGCTATTCACTAATACACTTTAATCATTTTATTCTAGGAAAACTATAATACAGTATCACCATATTCTCTAAGGTTACATGGTGGGAACTAAATTCTCTGTCAATTCAGTTCAATTTAATGTACTTAAAAAGATTCAGTTTAAGGAAAAGATAATATACTGAGCTCTAGATGAAAGGGCTTTATTTGTGCTACATTTATATGTGACTGTCTGATTTATATAATAGGGTGAATGTTTAGGTATTAAGATATGGAAGTGTGTGTGAATTAACTGCCGCCTTCAGAATGTGATAAAGACAACTATAGATCCTTCTTTAGTTTGATGCTAAATATAATATTGCATCCTGTGAATTCAGGTCATTAGGATTTATGTGAGCCTAAACTGCGTACTGTAAATAAAAAGGGGGGGAATTAGTTTATATTTAGAGTACACTCCTGACTTAAACAACATCATATTGCAAAAATGTGTACATATGTGGGGTTGTAAGCGAATACACATACATTATTCTGACTGTGATGAACAGGTAATGTGTTGGGAGCAGATACAAACGGCATTGAATTTGTGCAGTCAAGGGTGTAATTTCCACTGGGGGTGGAAGCAATTTTTTGAAAATCCTATTTTTGTCCTTCTAACTTTTATTGTTTCACTGAAAGAACACTAAACTGTCCTCCATCCATATGTTTAAATGCTTATCTTCATTTATTACAACAGACTATTAAGCTTTACAAGCACTATGTTTGTGGGTGATTTTTGACTGTTTGGCCCTGGATTTTGCCTTTCAGGTACCTGCTGCCCTTCCTTCTTGGCGGAGTTGAACAAAGTTCCATATCTCCTGCATTTTTGTCTGACTTTTCTTATATAACATACCATTGTTTATCATTAAATATCAGGAATATCAAGGAAATTCTTATATGCAAGTTGTGTGTCTATTTTCGGGATTACTTATAGAAAGCAAGATAACCAAGATTTATTATTTGTTAGATGATATAAATCTAACAGATTTTGTCAAAAGCTTTGAAATTTTTTGTTGAAAAATCTAAACTATCTGTATATTACTGGGTCTCTCCTCATAAGAGCTTCTATTTCTTAAAGAGAAACAGTTCAATCAGTCTCCATTCTGTTTCTATGATTCATTTCCACCTGGAAACTGACACAGTTCTTGGGGGTTCAGATACATTCCATGCTTTATTATTTGAATGGATAATTCAGTGACACGTTTACAGAGCTTTGTGTCACATCCCTTACATGTGTACACATACTGTATTTATTTGTAAAAGCCTGAATCAGACATATGTGATTTTAAAGCACATGCATTTTGTTTTTTCTTGCATATAAATAAAACTGTCAAACTGAAAATATTGTTTACCTGATGTTTGAAAACCACTTGTGAATTAAAGTGTTTTTAGAAGCACATGCACATACCTTCATGAATGTGTCCGAACACATGTAATTTGGGCTGGACTCTCCTCTGCACTGTATTGAGCAGCTCCATGCACCCGACACGCTGCATCTTTTTTGGGACCCAGTCCAGGAAACCTGCACACAGTGACACACAAATCAAACACACCTCACACCATACTCACACGCCCTGTTATATTTGTCTGCTTTGTGGGAAATAGGCTGTATAGTTACCATTAACTCATTCCACAACTTAATCTTACCATTCAAACTCTAAGAAAACTTTTAAATGACAGGAAAAACAGGAAATAAACAATACCACATGTACATCCCAAATCGCTGTTTTAAAGGTGGCTATAGGTTTTCACTTCATAAGGTGTGCTGCATGCAGCGCAGTTTAGTGTACATGGTGAGTAAAATGTGTTATAATGCAGTGTTATGCATGTTCTAATTCATTTAATTTAATTATTCAAATTTAAAATCATTTTTCACTTTCTGTCAGATTTGACTAAATGAAAAAAATAACTGGGAACAAAACAATGACCTGTTTAATCCCTTCTTTGCTAAATACACTGGCAGTTATAGTAATGTAACTTAGGTAATACATTTAATGGGCAGTAGTGTGATATTTAATTTTCTGTTTGGTCTTTCTGTGGTGGTTATAAATTTCATCTCCCTTCAAAAAGCGATACATCACGTTTTCAAATGAAGCTCTCCATTTCAGACTCCTTGTCTAATGGCAAACTGCACATCGCAGCACAAAGAAAAAAAGACTCTTAGAAAGCAGCCATAGAAAATAAAGATCAATCACAGCCACACACAGATGCAGACTTCACAGTGTGTGTGACAAGGATGAAGCATGGAGTGTATATGATTTAGTGGCTGCTCCGAGAGGAGGGATGCTGCTGATGCTGAGTCAATAAAAGCATCAAGTCGAAGAAATAAAATGACTGAGGAGCTTGTGCCGCCATCTTCCCTGCCTTCTGTTGCTCTGCCCAGACAGGAATGAGAAAGTAAAAAGAGGAAAAAAGAAAAATAGAGTAAACGAGCAAATTGTAAATACATTTATTTATGTTATTTATTAAATGTATTGTTGATTAAAAATTCAACAATAAATCTGGACAGATGAGGTCTAGGGAATCCTTGAATAAGTTGCAGCAAGGGTGAGGGTTAGATGGATGGCCCAAACAAACAGGACATTAACATGTTCATGTCCCGTGTGTAATTAAAAGTAAAGTTTCTTTAAAATAATGTACGTAAGTTAACTCATGTAATGTACTTAAGTTACGTCAGGTATGTAACGTAACTTATGATCTTTATGCCAAATTTTAAAGGCCAAGGCCAAATCTAATTTCTTGTCTTTAAGGGCAAGTCAAAGTTAAGTATTTTATCTTTAAGGGTCAAGAGTCCAAGTCAAGTCTCAGGTCTTTAAGGGAAAGTCCAATGCTGTGTCTCAATTCAAATACTTCCAT